CATTCTTTTCCCGCAAAATCGCTCAACCTCCACCCTTCACCGCTTGACCTCCGCCCTCCGCTGCTCGACCTGCACTCTTCGCCTGTCTGCTGCTGTCTGCCGCTCGACCTTCATTGTTTGCTGCCCGACCTCCGCTCTCCGCCGCCTGACCTCCGCTCTCCACCCCTCGGGTGGGCATCATCAATTAACCTCCACTCCAGCCATCGTCATCGACAAAACACAAAGTTTGAGAGCTCAAGACATCAACCTGGGGTTTGCGGTGAGTACACTCCTTTCTCCTACTCTGCGTTTTTCCAATTAGCTATAATTGTGTATGCGAATTTGGGTGTGCGATTTTGAAACCTATTAAATTTACTTCACCAGCTATTTGTTACTGTGTTTCTTCAGGTCTGGGTATGCTTGTAGTTTGTATTAGCTTTTTTATTTCCTTATAGGTTTTGTGGTTCTTGTTTGAAAGCTTTCTTCCATTTTGTTTTCCGTTGATAATATATAAAAAATTTTGGAAATTTGGAACATAAACTAATTAGCTATGACAAAGACAACTAAACTATTGGTAAGTTTGATGGACATTTGTTACCAAATCGAATGCAGTTTAATTCGTTACCAACTCTGACACAAACAGTGAAAATAAGCCACTGAGAGGCTGTGCTTTGGTTGGCATCTGGTAAAAACCACAAATTGCATGAATTCATTTGCTTTGTTAAAATGCTTTATTTGTTGTTTCTCTAATTTACATAACAATAACAAAAGTAAGCCATACTGGAATCTTCTTTTCCTTGTGCTGGTGTATTAATTTGTTTTGGGCCGGCTTTGATTAGTTGCGTGCTTCAGTAATTTTTGCCAACCTCTGTTTCTGACAAGAGTCCGGCCTATCAATATTCATTTTCTTCGTCATAGTTTCATATGTTATGCTATTTTTCCACTGTCATTTATGTCATAATATTTTACATATGCATATATCTTTATTTGAAATAAGGAAGATTGTTTGACTATATTATTTTTGCCGTTAGTGGTGGCTTTATTGGTATTTTTATTCAGGTGTGATGCTTTAAGATGACATTATTGATATAGAAGACTAAGTTTTAACCTCCTTCACCAACCTCCAAAATATTAGATGATATCATGATATAATGTTCAAAATTTGATGCCAAGTGTTCAGATGCCTTAATTATGGTTTATGCTTTATTGTTAGATGAACATCAGACCTGATGTTTTCTCTCGTTGAATACCATATAGTAATGACTTGGGGGAGAAATTTAAGATCCAAGTTAGAAACATTCTGTTGAGACTCATATTAATTACCCACATTGTGAATTCTATGAGCCCACTTTACTATATATTAAACGCTAAATTTTCTCGATGGAAGACACGTTAAGCAATTTCCTTGAATTGGTTGGGTGGCTGATGTTTGTGTGGGACAACTCAAGGCTCAATTGATTTTTTGAGATTCTTCAGTAGTTTTGCATATTGTCTTCAAAGATCAATGCTTACTAAGTTATCATTAAATTTGCAAATAGAGCCTATCTTAAGTGGAAATGTACCTCCTGGATTCGACCCAAGTACTTGCCGAAGTGTGTGAGATGCTTTTGAGCTTTAGCTTCTTCTTTGCCATTTGCATAAATTCGTTGTCCATCGTTGTTTTCAAATATATTTTTGTTCTGACATATTAAATATGTCTCGCACATATTCATTTTGATATGCTGTCTCCTATGGGCATCAATTGCACACGAGCAAATATGTGATTTATATGGGATTAAATTTCTTGCATTTATATGGCCCTCCTTCAAATTAATCTTTAGTAATGCATGTATGTAAACGAAAGCAATTTTTTTAGATAATAAAATATGTAGATATTCTTCTTTACTTACTACACCAAAGTTTACAGAAAAACTCGACTCGAAGAAGAATAGAATTTCAGCTCATGTTTTGCAAGTCATAGAAGACTAGCTGATAAAATTACAATTATTGGAAGCAAGTTCAAGTGAGTTTAATGTCACACGTAAAGATGGCAAAATGACTTGAACCCGGCCTGACCCGAAGCGTTTGGGGCAGGTTTGGCCTGCCCATGTTTGTAGAATGGGCCGGGGCGAGTCCGGCCCATTAGAAAAACAGGCCAGGTCCGGGTGCCATCTACTGCCCTGGCCCGACCCGCCCCGGCCCGACCTGACCCGAATTGTATATTTATTTATATATACATATATAATATTAGAGGTGGATCCAATGAGACCACTCCTTAAAATGAGTACGTAAGACTCAATCTTAGCCACTCATTTTGTCTATATCAAGGATTTATGTTAATCAATTAAAATATACATTAATTAAAAAATAAAAATAATTATTAGTTGACCGGCGTTGACCGTTGACTTCCGGCGTTGACCCATTGACCATAATATGTATTGTGTAAATATGTATGTGTATGAAGTAAATATAGTGAGGCAAAGTTAGTGTAAATATGTTGCAAAGTTATTGTAAAAATGTTGCAGCGTTAGTTGTTTTTATTTGCAATGTTTAGTTGTATTAAGTTTGCAAGGTTAGTTGTTTGTAGTTGCAAGGTTAGTTATGTCTAGTTGCAAGGTTAGTTATGTCTAGTTGCAATGTTAGTTTTCTCTAGTTGCAAGGTTAGTTGTCTGTAGTTGCAAAGTTAGTTCTATCTTGTTGCAGGATTAGTTGTTTTTATTTACAATGTTTAGTTGTATTCAGTTTGCAAGGTTAGTTGTCTGTAGTTGCAAAGTTAGTTGTTTTTAGTTGCAAGGTTAGTTGTCTTTAGTTGCAAGTTTAGTTGTCTTTGGTTGCAAGGCTCGTTGTCTTTAGTTGCAAGTTTAGTTGTCTTTTTGCAAGGTTAGATATGTTTAGTTGCAAGGTTAGTTCTGTCTAGTTGCAACGTTAGTTTTTTCTAGTTGCAAGGTTAGTTGTCGCAAAGTTAGTTCTATTTTGTTGTAGGGTTAGTTGTTTTTATTTGCAATGTTTTGTTGTATTTGCAATGTTAGTTGTCTTTAGTTCCAAGATTAGTTGACTTTAATTATTCTTTCATACATGATGCATACTAAGGTCAACGGGTCAACGTCGAAAGTCAACGATTTTCGCAGAAAGTCAACGCCGATAGTCAACGGTCAACGTCGGAGTCAACGGTCAATGAGCATAATAATATTTAAATAATTAAAAATAAAAAATTATTATTTAAATTAAGATTTAAATCTTGTGCTAGGGATGAGTCTAATAAGCGGATGCATTGGAACCCATCCCTATAAGCGGATGCATTAAAACCTATCCCTATAATATTATATATAATATATAAAGTAATTAGGGTTCAGATTTCATACCTTACGGTCCTTATCCTCACCCTGTCTCTCTTCTCATCTTCTGCAGACTGCAATCCTACGTCACTACCGTCTCGCTCAGTCAGGCACAAACCACCTGTCGGCAGCCACCGTTAGACCGTCTGCCTTGTGAAATTGCGTCGCCTCCGGCCTCTTCCAGTCTCCCTCTTTGCGATCGCGCCTCCCCGTCTTTGAAACACAACCTCTGACTTCTCGCCGCCTCCGACGCCTCGCTGCTTCCGAGTTCCAACGCCTCGCCGTCTGGACGCCCCGCCGCCGCGACGGACTCCACTACAGATTTTATGTAATTAGTAATTGCTATATTTTAAAAAAAAAAATGTTGTTGCTATATCTTTGAAATTGGTGGGGTTTTATCTTTGAAACACATGCTAATTTGTTATATATGCTTTGTGTGTTAGTTAGAATTAGGTTTATGAATTATGATCTTATGAGAAATGCTGAATTGATTGTGAATTGATGCTGAATTGTTGATGAATTCATTGTTAAAATCNTTTTGCTGAATTCATTGTGAAATTAGAATTAGGCAACCAGGTCCAATCATGTACAATCCATTGCAATTTGTAGGAAAAAATAAACAAAAGGGGCGGGCCTATGGTCGGGGTACTGAACTACCCGGCCCGACCTGCCCCATTGGCATCCCTAGTCACACGCAATTATCTTGATTGGTTGACTGTATTGCCTTGGGGGAGAGTACATGTCTGTGTTTCAAATAACATCTCCCTATGGTTGTTTTTGTGTCTTTCATTCCATACCTTTTGAATTTCAGATACCATATGCCCTTCATTGTTTGAGTTTGTTAATGAAGTTTGTCTTTGAATGAACTAAAATTATTAAATAAGAACCCAAAATCTGTGTCACTTGGCAAGAGAGTTATGCCATATTTATATGTACCAACTATGATCATATCAAGTCTCAGCTATGGTTTGTATCCTAAGTTTACAGACTGCAGTAAATGCCAAATAAGACTACTGGGTCGAACATGTCAGCAATTTGATTTTGTATGTTTGGCAATGCTTATATGTTAGTTATTGCTTTGTATTTAATGCATAACACTACTAGTAGTTTTGTTATTGTCTTCAAACATCAATGCTTACTAAGTTATCATTAAATTTGCAGATAGAGCCTATCTTAAGTGGAAATTTGCCTTCTGTCTTCGACGCAAGTACTCGCCGCAGTGTGTGAGTTGCTTTTGAGCTTCAGCTTCTTCTTTGCTATTTGCATAAATTTGTTGTCCATCGTTGTTTTCAAATATATTTTTGTATTGCTTCAAATTTTTCATCATCACGAAAAAGCATTGTGTTTAATGAGTAATTGATATCTCACGATCCATATCGAGATAGCCTCGCTATAAGCTTATCTGAGATTATTTGAGAAGTATAACATAATAATATTAATTGATGTAAAGATGGATGCTTGATATTAGTGGTTTTCAAGAGGCAAATTATGAGGTTGAAGTCATGTACATTGCCTTTTTGTCCATTGCAATTATATAGATTTCAGAAACTAGTATTTGAGTATTCTCATTTGTAGTGGGTAAGATGGAATGAAAGCTCAAATCCATTTCTTTTAGGTAGTTTTACTAATTATTAATGGGAATAATTTTTGAATCTTTTCTTTTAAGTTGGTTATACGGATATAAGATGATATCCTCATGGTGCATTAGGATATATTAAATTTATAGATTCGACAGATCGAAGAGCAGCCGGGCGGGATTGTCTTTTGAAGATTGGAAAGCTTATCGGTCTTCTGAAACATCTTCTCTTGAGATATATATGTTAGAATCATCACTGAAAAGATAATTTTGAATAATCATAAACTGTAAATATCGAGCGCTATTTTATGTCAAAGTGAAAATATGTTCTTTTAATCTTGATCTTATTTATAATGGTTTTATTTAATGTATTACAAACATTGATAAAAATTCGATTCTGAGACGGAATAAAAATGACATAAAGGTGTGTACTAAGGTACATGCAAAAATTCAAAAACAAGAAAACTCATAACTAATGGTTAAAAAGTCTTAAGAATAAATTTATTTTTCCAGAGTAAACCATTAATTAATGTATATCACAAACTTCGATGGTGAAAATTAATTTTTGAAACGGAAGAAAAACGACTGAAAGGGCGTGTACTAAGATACACGAAAAAAATTCAAAAACGAAAAATCTCGCTAATAATGGTTAAAAAGGCTAAAACCATTTTTTTTGCCACAAGACACCCTTATTTAATTTATATTACAAACATTGATGATGGATATTTAATTTCTAAATGGAAGGAAATCGACTAAAAGGACGTGTACAAAAGGAAATTCAAAAACGAAAAAACTTATTTTAATACGTTTCAAATATTTTTATTTTGCCACAGTAAACCATTATTTAATTTATATTTAATTTTGATTACTAAGACACGCTAAAATTCAAAAAGGGAAAAACTTGTAATAATGATTAAAAAGACAAAAAAAAATATTTTGCAACAACACACCATTATTTAATGTATATTAAAAATTTTGATGGTGAAAATTCAATTTTAAAATTGAAGAAAAATGACTGAAAGTACATGTACTAAGGAAAGGTACACGAAAATATTCAAAAACGGAAAAACTCGTTAATAATGGTTACAAATACTTAATAAAAAAGTTCTTTTGCCATAGTACAACATTATTTAATTGTATATTAAAAAATATATGGTAAAAGTTCAATTTTTAAACGGAACAAAAACGACTAAAAAGGCAAGTACTAAGGTACACGCAAAAATTCATAAACAAAAAACTCGTAAATAAAGGTTAAAAATGCTAAAAAATTTACTTTGACACAATACATTATTGTTTAGTGTATATATTGAAAACTTTTTTGGTGAAAATACAATTTTAAAATGGAAGAAAAACGAGTGAAAGGACATGTAATAAGGTACACGCAAAAATTCAAAAACGAAAAGGTCGTAGATAATGTTAAGAGGGCTAAAAAAATTTATTTTGCCACAATAGATTTTTATTTAATGTATACTACAAACTTTGGTGGTGAAATTTTAATTTTGAAATGGAAGATAAATGACTGAAAGGGCGTGTACTAAGGTACACGAAAAAATTCAAAATCGAAAAAACTCATAGATAATGGTTAAAAATGATCAAACAATTTTATTTCGCCACAGAACACCATTATTTAATGTATATTACAAACATCGATGGCGATAGTTTGATTTTTAAACGAAAGAAAAACGACTGGAAGGACGTGTACTAAGGTAAAAAATATTAAAAAAACAAAAATACTCGTAAATAATGGTTAAAAAGGCTTAAAAAATTTCTTCTGCCACAAAATACCATTATTTAATGTATATTGCAAACATTAATGTGAAAATTCAATTTTTAAAAGAAAAAAAATGGCTAAAGGACATGTACTAAGGTACACGAAAAAAATTCAAAAACGAAAAAACTCGTAAATAATGGTTAAAAATGCTAATTTTTTTTTTTTGCCATAGCACATCATTATTTAATGTATATTACATACTTTTATGGTGAAAATTCAGATTTTAAAAAGGTTTAGGGTTAAAAAGGTTAAAACAAATTCTTTTTCCACAGTACACCATTATTACCATTATTTAAGGTATATTACGAACTTTAAAGGTGACAAAATCAATTTTGAGACGGACGGAAAATGGCTCAAAGGGCGTTTAGGTTTTAGGGTTTAGGGTTTTTAGAGTTAAGGGATTTAGGGTTTAGGGTTTTGGGGTTTCGACTTTTAAGGGTTTAGGGTTTAAGGAGTACTGTCAATAATTAATTAATAAATTTATTGTAAATTGATTTGTATTTAGTAAGTTTTAATTATTAATTGTAAAAAGTATAAAAAATAATGATATATACAATTTTTTGTGAAAAAGTTTAAATTTGGTATATATTTTTTTTTTTTGACTGAAAACGCACAAGAATCATATTGCAAACCGATAATGGTACTCCACTGCTGCAAATGACGGTAAGCAACCAAGAGACATGTTATGGAGCCAATGGTTGGCTCGTTTATGGAGCCAACCACCAATGTTATAGTGCCACATAGGCCATGTGAAAAAATAATTAACTCCACATGGCCTACGTGGCACTATAATATTGGTGGTTGGCTCCATAAAGGAGCCAACCATTGGCTCCATAGCATTTCTCACCAAACGACGAAAGATAACTCTCAGTATAGTCGCGACTAGACCACCGACTCTCAAAGATAAGAACGAAAGAAAAAAGAGGTTTCTTATTCTCCCTCTGTTAGCTTCTCTTTCTTTTCTTATGTATGCCCAATTTTAACTTTCGTTGATAGAATTCGGTGCTTCTTAGCAGTTGGAGTGTATTTTTGTATTGTGTGGCGTTTCATATATTTTGGGGCAAAAAGTGAAGTTAGGTGATAATTGTTTAGAGTAGGTCAATGTTGTATGCAGTTTCTCCAGTGAGTCCCTTTACGAGCAGCAGCAGCAACTGTTACCCTAGAATCAATTTTCATCAGAAGCGTTTAGCTTCAACAAGGCTTAATAAGGCCTCGGCCTCAGCGGGTCCCAATGGAGCGAAGATCGAGTACACTCCATGGCTGATTGTTGGCTTGGGCAACCCTGGAAACAAATATCATGGAACTCGACATAACGTAATGAGCCACTACCTTATATTCTTCCCTTATTCTGTATTCCTTCAAAGGGATGTCCATCTGATTACTATTACTGTTCAAGTTTTTTTGTTAGGTTGGATTTGAAATGATATATCGTATCTCTCAAGAAGAAGGCATTTTGATGAACACTATACAATCCAAATCATTGATTGGCACAGGTGCTTGATAATCTGTCCCTTTTCTTCATTACTTGCCCTTTTCTTTCCTAGAAGAGTAATATATGACATTTCGGTGATTATAAGCCATTTTTCGTCATGTACTTAAGAGGTCCAGTTTATTGATTGATATTTACTAACATGTTCAAACACAACCAGTGCAGGTTCCATAGGACAAGTCCCCGTTTTGTTGGCCAAACCTCAGACATATATGAACTTCAGTGGAGAATCGGTTTGTCTTCATCCTTTCTTTTTCTTTCTTTCTTTCTTTTTTTTTTTTTTTTT